TACTGTAACTAGTGCATACATGGATGGGTTGTGTAGCTGCTGTAGCTGTTGTTTCTATGCCCGTGGGTTCGTCGAGGCGGTCATACATTTGAAGTTGGATTTGGGAAAGGCGTGATTGATTGAGCTGAACTCTCAGAGCTGCAGTTGACTGGCTTTGTGCCATGATGTTCTTACTAGTGGCAAGACCACGACTTTCGCCCATTTGCAGACCAAGCATTGCTTGACTTATGCCACGACTGTGCCTCCATTCAGGGTCAACATTTCAGTGAACATGCTGTTGGATGTCATGCGAGCAGATGAATACGTGCTGATGCCATTCCTGAATCAAATGGCAGGCCAAGAAAAGTAGGATCATGTCCTACTAGTGGCTTACGCCGACGCCGATGCTTACTCCGAAGCTGTCCCACGAGCAGCGAATGAAGACGTTCGCGGATTCATGGTCTAGTGAAGGCATTGTACCTTGATGTGTCACGCGATGTGTGCCGTTTGCAACACATATTCTTTGTCACGCTCCTGGAGGGATGGATGATTTTATGGGAGGTCTCTGTTCTTTTTCACCAATCCCTATAGAGAAATACAGGGAGAACGGAGAGGCCATCGCCTCGACCGGCGAGTTCGCTTGGTTGTTGCGGCCCATTTTTGTTGGCCCTCCAGGAATAGTCACCTTCCATACATGGATGGTTTGGGTATGATCTTCTTGAAGAACAACGTCATTGGCGTTCAGCGGCGTCGGCTGGCACACATGCCCAGCCCGGTATGGAGGGCCACATGAACAAAGTTTCAGGCCAGCAGTGATGAAATACACCGCAGCTCGGTCACCTTGGCTGATCCTAAGCCCCTGGCAACCCACCCCAACCAAGGCGAAAATAGTTGGTTAGAACCCTAGTTGGCTCAGCACTCAGAATTTGTGTTGCGGCACTCTGTTTTGTAGAGACACCCCAATGCGATTATTTTCATTGAACGAATGCATTTGGGAATGGGTTTTGGGTAGTAGAGTGCCAGAAGTAAAGTCTGAGCGCCAACACGCGCAGGGGAAACAGCTGCTTACTGAGCAGCCATGTCGGCTTCAACACCGTTGCGCCATGCAGGCCACTCTGTTGGGAGGAGTGGTGCGAGGTGAAGTTTCCCGCAAGGGGCGTGAGCGAGCAACAGAACAACCTGGTGAAGGCAAGGTTCCTGCATGTGCAGAGCGGCGCCTCTAAACTTTGGGCTTGTTCGAAGTGCTCTTGGCAGAACTCCATGAGAGGCTCGACCCGCCCATTGGAACACATGCGCTTTGGAGTTTGAAAGGGAAGTCATACATCGAGTTGCACAAGCTCAAGAAGGCGTCGGACATTACTCCACCCGACCGGGAATGGCTGGATGCCCTTTGTTGGGATGCTTTGGGTATTCCTGCAGCTGTACAGTGGGCCATCTTCAACCATTGGGTGCCAATTGATTACACGCCATGAACGACCAGAAGAGGGGGTGCCCATCACTAATGGGGAGGCCACTGTGCCGCCATGAGTGCAGGCAATGGCAGGCCCTTTTGCAATCACGCCTCGGTGCTCCAAATGCGTTTTTCAATTTCAAAAACCGCACATGGGCTGGTTGCTCACCCTCCTATCTCCAAAATAATGCGCTTTGTGCAGACTTATGGGCCCAAGCTCGCCCTTCTATGTCCCAAACGCGTTGTGTCAACCTCAAAAAAAGCATTGGGGGCCCAAGCCATGGCCAGGTTGCAAGTGGAGTTTTCTGCCAATCCCTAGCAGCAATGCATCCCAAGAAAGGAAACAAATGCATCGGGGAATGCGGCGGAAGTCAAAACCACACAAACACAAACATTCAAGCGTTGCGAACCAGCGTGCTGGCACTCTTGCGCGTGCCGGGACGACTAATGGTTAGAACCCTAGAGTGACCCGGAAATGACCTGGACACTCCTGGAGCAACCCGGTGGGCGTCACCAATACCCAGAACATCCTAGAACTACCTGTGGAGTCGGGTCCGGTCGTAGTTACCAAAAGTAGCTACAGTACGCTGCTGTCGAGCCGTACCGGGTTTTATAGGTCCAATTTTTCTAGGCCACTTTGAATCATAAAGGACCCAGGTATGCTTCAGTGCGTGATTCCTGAGCCAAACCAAACATGGTCCAAAGGTGAGGAGCAACGAGTGTCGAGTTTCAATTCAGGGACCCTCTCCAGTCTGTAGCGAAGTGCGCCATGACCCTACAAAAACAAGTACTTCTATGCACTTTCTGCACTTGTACTCATTTTCCGAGGCACGACCTGGTCGACTCCAGGGATTTCAAGGTGATTCGATCAAATTCTGTTCCGGGTTTCTGGTGCAACTACCGATCGCTAGAGTGGTTGATCGCTAGACACCATGTGGGTGTACCAGTGGTCGCGGAAGTGCTTTGCCCAAACTTCGTTGGTTCGGGGATGTTTGCGGAAGTTTTTTCACTGCCTAGAGGAACTAATGGCTCCAAAGTGAGTGCCAGAGCCGCCCATGTGCAGTTTCACTTGGAAAGCGTGAGGCCGAAACGCGGCGATGAACGAAAGCGGAAAAACACGAGCCAAAGCACCATTGGCAAACAAATACAAACAGATATCAGGCCTTGAACATTGCCAAAGCATGTCTAGATCAACTTCCTGGATGCCACTATAGATCATACATCACCCCTCGTTGCAGCAGCTGGAGACCGTGGCTCGAACACCTGGGTTCGTCTCAACAATGCCCACAGAAACTGCGCGCTCTGTACCAGAAGTTCCAAGAAATGACATGTGTTTGAGAAGCGACAGGGTGTTTTGAGAACCGTTTTGGGGAGTAGCGGATCTACACGCGCTCCGAGTTGGTGATTGTGCGGTCAAAAGGTCTGGAGAAGGCCCCGGGTGATTGAGAAGCCAGACACCGTGGTCACGACTTGTTGCCAGCTCGCAGCTGCTCAAAGCTGAAGAGTGAAACCCATGTACGAAGGCACCGAGTGATCAGGACGGTCATAATGACTCACTGAGAATCCCTAGTCTTATGACCTGGATTAAACCTAACTCTAATGAATCACAAAATCATGCAAAATCAATCAAAATCAACAACACATACAAAAACATTATATACAAATAGAATGAAACAAAATATATACAAATAATACAAAATAACATACACAAAAAATAGGGCACACAGTTCACAATGAACATGAACACTAGGTTGCTGCCTGACACCAAGAAACCCCGCAAGAGAAGAAAACCCTCAACAGGAGCCCTCCTTCAAAAAAACACAAACCTGTAGAAGCCTTATGTTGTTGGCATCAGGCATTTGCTTTTGAAGACAAGAGTTTCAATCAAGAGCAGGACGCCTGTGTCAAGCCATACTTTGTAAGATTAAACCCACGAACAGCGTATGAATGATTCTTGCTCCTGCCTTTGAACAAATAATCAAAAGCGGTCCGCAAGACCTCGTTTGCCATTTGTGCTGGGGTTCCCCGAGTGTATTTGCGCTCCTATTTTTATGTTTTTGTTTCCTATTTTTGTTCGTACGTGTTTGTATTGTTTTTGTATGGTTTCCTATGTTTTTCCGTATGTGTTTTTCCCATTGTGTTTGTATTTTTCCCTATTTGTTTTACCTATTGTGTTCCTAATTGTTCCCTATTGTTCCAATGTTTTGTATTTCTTTTCGAGGAAAATAGGAAAATGCAAAATCAATACAACAATTGTGCAAATCCTGTTTTGCCTAGGAAAACAATACGCACAAATACAAAAACAATACACATGAAGAAAGGAAATCATAGAAGCAAACATAGGGAGAAAATGAGATACATATTCAATGAAGGCCCTGCTATGACCGCTCTCCACTTGTCGTCTTACTGAGATGACCTGACATTTCTGTCTTGTTGCTTTCCCCTGGCTGGCTAGTAATTACTGGATAGGACATATATACTCAAAATATCCCACTCTGTTCTCAATTTGACTCTTGCGTGATCTTTGCTTTGTTGCGCTGGCCTTTGTCTATGCCACATGCAGCCTCTACCTAGGTTTCAATCAGTGAGCAGTTCCCTGTTGCAGGCAGTGCCTCTTTGACAAATGTTGTGTTCCCTTTCTTCCTTTGGAAGCGCTGGTTTCTATCGCAGACTGTCCAGTCCGCTTGTGTTTTTGTCTGACCGTCCTATGTTCATTCCTCGTTTATATTGTTTGTATTGTCTCTTTGTTTTTTTTTGCTGTATTGTTGTTGTATTGTTTCCTAATGGTATAGTAAGTTAGTAAGTTCTTAACCTTTTTAGACGTTGCTTCTTAGGCAGCTCACAACCCTAGTCTATTGATGTTTATTGGAATGCCTTGAAGGTGGTGGATATCAAATACATGCCGCTGGGATGAGATTTGCATGAGGGTCTTTTCCTCTAGGGATCCACTGCCACCTTCTCAGGTTCGGCACGACTCGACCCTCCAAGGTCACAGTGTCGAACACGTCATCCTGTGAGAATGTGGGCTCCAAGTGTGGATCCATATCGCTGGTCAGTAACAGATAGACCCACCATGAAGCACTCTTGAATTGGCTTTGGAGAGGTACTCATGGGTGAAGATGGATATAATCCAATTATTGCAAGAGTATTGTTAGTTTCGGGGTTCCAGTCATGTGTGTGGTTGAATATGTCTTTGTCCTAGTGCTGTACTGCTGCGGTCCGAGAGAATGGTGGTATACTTTCACTGAGTATTTCAAGGATTTGCAAGAGTATGTAAGAGTAGGGTCAGAGTTTTCTCCAATGAATTGGTCGACAAGTCTGAGAATTGCACCCAAAAAACAACTTGTTTTCGTTTGCCCTACTTTCCAGTCGGGCAACTGGAGAACTCCTGCTTTGCAGCAAACCAGACAACACATGACAATGCTTCCGGACTCCAAATAGAAGCAGACTACAACGTACGGATTCCACTGCGATGAAGCATGGTAAACCTAAGGGCTTTGTGAACTCCGCAATGTCTTTGCCAAAAGGTTTTTCATCTCGATAAACCTCGTTATATACCTTGTTTTTTTCAGCGAAGAGTACTAGGGCAGTGACTGCTGGGTTTGACCGATGTCGCCCTTACCTGATGAGATACCAAGCGGTATCTCGGCAGTGACAAGACATATATGTCGAGTATGGTGAAGTTGTCTTGGAGCAAGGAGCAAAAAGAGCACAACCCAAGAAACAGATAGATCGTCTCCTATTTATGTATAGTTGTTCTACAATGGCTTTGTTTTCCGTTTGTCTTTGTCATATTTGCCCTTGTATAGCTTTCCTGTTGGCCTGTTGGCACGTTTCCTGTACTACCCAGACGCTCTGTGTTTTCACAGCGCTTGGTCCCTCCAAAGCGCGCTGGGGATTGATGAGAACTGAGAACCCCCCAGACCCCTCCAGAAGGATTTCGGACCGATCCTTCCGGTTGAGAAGCGTTTGAGATGGCGAAGAGGGACCTACCCTCTTCGCCGGTGTTGCCAGGGGTCGTCCTGCAAAAGGCTTCACGAGTTCCAATCCAGAAACAATTCCGGATCCACGGCCTTCTCAGGCTCGGTACGACCGGACTGGACCCTCCAAATCTACAATGTGTGAAACACCTTAACTTCTCAGAGGGTATATATGTCACTATATGTCATATATGTGGATCCATAGGGCTACTTCTTTTGCTGACTACTTCACTCATTCCCCCTATGGGTCCAGGACCATCGATTTCTATCCATTTCTCGCAGGTCTTTTTCTGTCCAGCTAGTGAAAACCTTTCTCCGGTTTCATACGTACGAAAACCTCCGGGAAGTAATTCGCATCAGTATGGAGGTACCGGGACCCGTCACCTCCACGAGTCACCTTTTCACATTGCACCAGTTCACTATTTATGGTGGCCCCACCCTGCTGTGCAAGATGTGTTTTTGCTTTGGAGTCGACCTGTCCTCAGAAGGTGGGTACTGCGGTACCTGTTATGTGTCTTTTTGAGGGGGTCATGTTCCCATGTTCGGTACTTTGCCAAATGATTGTAGAGGCACTCATGTACCATACCCCCAATCTAAAGGCTTGCGACCCATACTTCCTCCCAGGACTTGGCACATTTGCTCCGACATGCCTTTGGATGATTTTGGATTGGGTTTGATCTTTTTCTATCCCCCAGATGTAACATGGAATCTGAAACATTTGCTGTGCCAGAGGGTCGTTGGAGGAAGTTGATGGAATTTGAATAGTTTGTACACAATATTTTTTGTTTCCGGCCAGCCGGCCACGACCACGGCCACGGCCACAGCCCGCCGGCCACCGCCCGCCGGCCACGGCCAGCCGGCCACGGCCAGCCGGCCACGGCCAGCCAACCACGCCCAGCCGGCCACAGCGAGCCGGGCACGGCATCCGGGGCCGAATACCGAACTCAAGAAGGAGCAAAGGTAGAAGAAGAATAAGAAGAAGAAGCAGAAACCGCACAAAAAGAACAGCAGCAGAAACTAGGCGACAGGGTGGCCGGAAGGCACAGCAGGAGAGGTCGAGAGGAGGATGAATGTGATCAGTGGGAGGGCAAAAAAAAGAATCTGAAATACTCTTATTTTTCTCTCTTCACTTCGCATACTATGCGTGCGAGGGGTAAATCACGATCATCGCTACTACTGTTTGAAAGCTCTCTACGCCGTTGCCGCTGCTGCTGCCATTATGATCATCTCTGTCCACGTAGGTTTCAGTCATGATCATCGCTGCTTGAACGCCGTGGATGTATAACTGTATAACTGCAGAATCGTGATTGCGTCACCGTTTCGTGCTTGTGTTGCGCAGGATAGAATCGGATAGAAACTGAATTTCCACGTGCCTTGATGTGCAAAAAGCGAAGAAAAGTTTTCGCATAGGCATTGCTTGCGTTCGTGGTAGCAAAAGCTTCCAGAACATCGTCCCCAAGGTCACGATCTGCAATCCCGCATAAAACAGAATTCAGCGTAGCTTGTTGTTGAAATTGTTCCGCACGGGCCAGACGGCGAAGCCTGCGCTTGTACTTGTGTTAAAGCGACGGGCAAAATGGGTATACGCGGAAGGTGGCTGGGGGCCAACCTTGTCGCTAGCCACGGTTGAGTAAATCACAAGCATCCTTTCCCGCAGGCAAGCGTCAAAGATTCCAAGCCTAGACGCTGGAAACATTTCCTGTTCGTGTGGGGTGCAGCCGCAAACGACGACCCTGCTGTGTTCATGCAGCAGAGCGACGTTCAACTACCTTCAGATATGCGACAACCATTGCCAGCGCAGACACTTTGTGGAGGGGTGTAGCTTACAAAATCAATATAGCAGGATTGTAGCTGACATCAGCCAGCTACCCCCAACGTGGAAAGCCTCTTCTCAATAATGCATTTTCCACCTCACTCAAGCTGGATCATGTGTCAGCACACTGTGACTTACCGCCCCCCGCAGCGATAGCTCTCTGCCAGCCTAGAGACCTCCGCAATATAGACACACTACGCCTTTTGGCCTTTTGAAAGGATATAAGAGTAGGTTTATGCAGCTTCTGGATTCACGCGAAATGTCCCACATCTTTACTAAACCTGCACCGCAAAGTCACGCAAAGACCCGCCAGGAAGCAACCACTCACCATAGAGCGTGTCTCTGTGGAGGATTCAACGCTTGCAAAGACATAGGTCAGCCTGACTTCTAATTCTAGCTACCGAGTAGCAAACGCAAGCCTATTCTGCTTCTCTACACTCGCAGCTGTCGCTTCTGGCGCAGACTGCAAACTTTTGAAAAAGAACATCATCCCCGTCATCCTGTTTGAGCGATTACATTGCGCCCACGTGTATGCAAACTCGTCTTAGCTCTTCCTTTCCCCTTTTGCAGCAGCCGCCATAGAAGCTATGGCCGGATGCGGTTTGTGGGGTTCCGGCCATGGCCACCCGGCCATGTAGCCAGTAGGTCACGACCGTTCAGCCACGACAAGGAGGATGAATGTCATCAGGAGGGGCGTGAAAACATTGCGCAGAATCAGAGGAACTCGCGCTTTTTTCTCCGCTCAGTTCGCGCACTATGCGTGCGAGGGGTACATCATGATCATCGCTGCTACTGCTCGAAAGCTCGCTACGCTGCTGCCCCTGCTGGTCATTTCTATGGCCGGATGCGATTGGTAGGTTCTGGCCACGGCCTTCCGGCCATACGGCCCGTGCCAGTAGGTCACGACGCCACGGCCATCCGGCCACGGCCACGGCCAGCCGGCCGCGGCCACGCACGAAAAAAATCCATCCTGAATCCTCTAGTTTGTATAGTGCTTATCTTGCAGGACTCAGAACCTTAGGAGAGGGGCCAATCCTGGAGATGGAACGATAATCCTGGAGATGGAACGATACCCCTCTTGTCAGACATTTTCAACTAGGCAGCCCAAGACGATGTTCTCATTCAATGGGGATTTCAGCTGCTTTCGGGTTCGATGTCAAAGTTAAGAGGATGCTTAAGCTCCCTGCACTCCTCATGGACGTGGAAAACCACCGGCTTGTAGAGGAAACTGGTCATCCAAGGGGCCACGTTCCACTTGGAATGTCTAAAAGACACCACTCCCAAAAACGAGTCGGGACTTGAAGTCGGGGACTCCAGATGTTGGAGGCCTCTAGAGGTCTGGAAGTCTGAGAGGTCTGGACTCCCACTGGATCAGGTCGACCCTCGTGTTGTTTGGGGACAGACTGTAGGCGAAGTGAGGGTACCTGAGAAGGTACAGTATGTGGGATCCCTAGGGTATATGGCATATATATATGTTATGTATGTATATATATATATCATGTGATTTTTGGCACACGAGTCGTAGGTTCTGAGAAGACAGTCACAACTTCACCAGCTGGCTTGTTGACAGAACCAGGGTGAAATTGTGGGAGTGACCAATGTTTTTGTCATGACAAGAACAGAACCAGAAGTATACTTGTCGTCCAGTTGCCCGCTACTCTTCTTTCTTGGCACCAGGTATGTTTCTTCATTGCCCTTGCCCTGCTGGCGCTCCTGCCACTGCTGCTGCAGCCGTCCGCGACGCCTGCATTCCGCAGCTCATCCACGGTCTCTCCAACGTCAAGACGCGTGGAGCTTGCGGTTCCAACGGAAGAGACGTCCCGACCGCGGCCCAGAAGTGTGGGAGAAGGACTCCGATTCTTTTTGTTGGCCACCTGGAATCTTAAGATCCCAGTTGCCAACCATGGGGAGAACACGATGGAAAAGATATTTACTACACCCAAACCGTCCATGATCCATGTATGGAATATCATACATCAACTCTATTTATGACCCATCCATATAGTAGCTTAAGGTCGTGGGATTCTGTCGAGCATCTTGAGGAGAATCCTGGGTGGTTCTTCTCTCTCTCCAGCGCTCTGGCACCCATTGGCCTCCCGGCGTTCGCGCAAGTGGAACGAGGGTGCAGCAGGCCAAAGCAGTTGACGAGTACCAAACACTTCCCCAAAGAAATACATTCCCTAGGGATCCAAGTACCTTCTCAGAAGGCACTTGGAGCCTCCAAACCTACAAAAGAGTGTCTCCAAACACCTTCTGAGAAGGTACTTGGATCGCTAGGAATTAGTTTCAGAGTAATTAGCATGGCACTGGCACCCCCATGAGGTCCATATGAATCACCTTTGGGGATTGTGCCATGTACCCTCGACACACCATATCGCCTCAGGAGTTTGGAAGACTATTACCACAGTGGGTGGTTTCAAGGTCGGCAAAAAGGTTTCGGGGGACTTCCTGGAGGGAAGAAGTAGCAGAACTCATCCTGCATGAGCCAACTCCAAGGCACCTTGACGGATTGTCGAAGAGATTATTCTGATCTATTCTGAATTGCGCACGCACTGAGGTAGATTCGACGTGCTTCCATAATTTCAATACAAAAACATGGTGCTTGTTCATTAGTGGAATTGAGCCTGGGTTGCTTATGTAGGGAGATGTAGGGGGCAATTATATAACGCCAGGCAGAGCATTCCTTGATCATCTTTGCACCATTTCTTCGCCCACATCTCTGGGTGTGAGTGGTGTTCTTTTTGACAAACCACTCTCAAGCGAAAGCAGTGCTGTCTTCGTCCGTTGTGAGGCTCTCACACGAGCTGAACCGCGATCCATGCATCTCAGTACTCCCTGAGACGCTCCGCTCTCTTCGACCGTGGTGGGAAAACGACTCGTTTCAAGGGCGTTCCTGTTTGTAAGGAGGTCACATTGCCTGGTTTTACCTAATAGGTTCATTGTTTTCCCTATGGGTAAAATCCTTTCTGGGAAAGATTATTTTCCGCAGTTCCTCAAGCAATTGGAAGATTGTGATATTAAGAGTTTGGCAATCGGTATGTTTGCCACTAGGGTCCAGATGCACGCTTGAACGTCCAGCCTTAATACTGTAGATCGTGTTTTTCCTTCATCTAAAGCTATGCTAGTCCAGGCTGGGGCATATAGGGGCATGCATGAGAGTACACTGTGGCCTGCTTTGATAGAGAAGATCTGATTCCCAGACGCAGGCAGGGAAGATTCACCTACATTTGGGAGTAGGCATGGCACATACATATGAGATAAACATAAATATAAACCATACATGGAGATTTTGGGATTGATTTCGCTTCCCAGCTATAAAGCACCAGTGTGCCTTGGGAAAGGTGAGGACTTGACAAGGAAAGCGGAGCTTGTTTGCTTGGCGTTTGACGCAAACGATGTTTTTCACTAAAAATGGGCCGCCAATTGATCACCCCCAGAGTCACTAGTACCACGGAGAAGGATGTGATTCTCGTACGCAAACGTGTCCGTTTCCGTGTCCGTCAACCATTGGGATGCCCGGCAAAGGATCTTGTACCACCAGACTGAGAAGTTCACATGGTGGACTCCTACCATGAGACGTCGCCTATGCCTGGTTTGCACAGCTCAACCTCCGATGTGTGGTGTTTGGAATGCATGTACAGATAGATCGTAGAGCCTTCAGAAGTCTATGGCATAGTTCTGACATGGTTGGTTGTTTGGGAAGAGGCACTGAGTATCACTGAGTCATGCAGATTATGAATGGGCATGGACTTGCACATACCTGGACAACTCTCTTCTACGGGCAGCTGGTTTTGCTTTCGGTTTTTGTTTCTCTTCCCCATGTGGCTCCACGGAGCCGTGGCTCCTAAGCTCGCTGATCCAAACCTGGTGACGTTTGGTGCTGAGAGTCGGGTTTCAACAAAGGGGGATTCTTCTTCCCTACCTACCCTACAAGTGGGTGGAAACCCTATAGGGTTGAATAAAACCATCACACGAACTACCGGAACTTTCAGAGAACGTAGATGAAGAAGAAGGACCCGCCCTTCTTCTTCGTCCTTCCTCCAAGAACGACGTTTTTAACTCCTGGTGAAGAACATGCCATGCTCATCCATGCTCTATGGAGGTTGAGATATTGAGTCATACACACGAGAGCTGTTGGCAAGAACCGACATGCAGCCTGGAGCTGTTTCTGGTTGTTTCCAGTGACCTCTACAAAAAGGGATTACGTTGGGAATGACGGGGCAGTCTTCCACTAGTCAGTGTTCAGGTTCCACTAGTTTGGAGCACCAAGTCAGAGCCTGCTTCCATATCAATTTGTTTACTTTGCCTCGGTGTAGCTGGGGTACTGTCCAAAAAGAGTACATAATAGTACAATATAGTACATACATGTATATACAGCAAATAAAAAGACATTGCAAGTTTATTTAACAAGGCAAACAACACTGGTGCAAAAGTGGGGACCACTCGAATGCTTGGACTTGGAAGCTTGTGATCTGCGACTGATATCAAACGTCAATCAAGTGGAGCCACATCCCTCGATCTTGGGTGTTTCTTCGTCGGAGGCGTCAGGTTGTCAAGGGTCCTACCTTGCGAGAATCGAGTTCAGGGATCAACTGCAGAACACCTGCCCCCCAATCCACCTCTCGAAAAAGAAACACATACCACCGTGGGGGGGACCGGTGGTTGACTCCTCGCTGTTTTCCTCACATGCCAACCACCGAGTTCACTCGCGGTTTTCCTCGATGTCCGACCTGCCAGGTGTTTCCATTGAAGGATTCTTCAAGTGCTCCGTGGACGGTGAAAAGGAGATTGATGGAAAGCTTCTGCCATGGACTCTGGTGGACTATGTGAAGCAAACAGCACAGGACGCTCAAAACGCTCGACAGGCAGACTCGGACCTGCCACGGGAGTATACGGTCTGTCGAGGTGTCCGTGAAAAAAAACAGAGTCGCTTGAAACTTGGAATGGCCAAGAGGTGTGGTGAGACGTGCACTGGAAGCACTTCCAAGATGGAACATCTAAAAGCTAGCAGCTATACTGTCTACCATTTTCAGGGGAAGATGACCTAGCCAAGATGTACAGATTCAAGGGACGATGTCCATGGCCTTCAGGATGGGTCCAGTGGTCCCTTGGTCGCGCGGTCGGTCGCGCGGTCGGTCTGAAGACCTTCTTTCAGTCCTTGGAGGTGAGGTTTCAAGGTAGTAGGAAGCTGCACTTCACCACGATGGCTGGGTCCTTTGTGTTGAATTCGATCAGGTCACATGTCATACTATATGCACTCACCATCCTGATCCTGGAACAAGTTGTCACTATTTGTTGAGATGTTCCATGAACTTGTCCCTCAATACTCCTTGCTGACATGGAGGACTGTTTAGGATCGGTAGGGATTAGGGGGGGTGGTTTTCTTGGATAGGCCATTGACTAAACCCGTGTGGGGAAGGTCATGGCGAAGGGCACTTTCGCTATGCAGCGTGGTTGGTGAGCCTGACAAGTGCCGGATGTCTAGGATCTGAAATGTTTTAAACACCTGCTGAAGGCCACTGGCATGTTTGGCACAAGCAAGATAGGGCAAGTGTTTGGCAAGTCTGTTCTTGCTTACGATCAGATCATGTAATACTATATGCTTGGAGGGTCCAAACATAGTTGTTTTTTTACAAGGAGGCTGGGCCAACCAGCTGTTTGGAATCAGAATACTATATAGGATCTTTCATCCAAACGGAGCCTGCACTTAAACGGGATGTAATGGATATTATGTATGGTATCCTGACCAGACCTGCATTGCATGCATATAACACTTATCAACAAAGCATAAGTAGCAGGAAGCACCTGATCTCGTAATGTTCTTCTTGGTCGCCTTGCAACAACGGGTTGGTTGGTTGTTCTCAACTAAAGCAGACCCTTGATTAATAAAACCTCCATATATATATCCATATTAAGAGGTTTTGGTTTTACAATCCAGATGGTGGGAGGGTTTTAATCAAGATTCTACATTGCTTTCAACCGTCGCAAGGACCTGCAAAACGGGCGCTTGGTGCGTGGCTTCAACTGGATCCTTGAAAGTGCTATTGTTGGACAAACTCCCTCCAAACCCTAGCTCTAAATACCTTCTCAGAACCTTCTCAGAATATACTTAGACCCTCCACCATCCCAAACACCTCCAAGACAGAGGCATTTGGAGTGGAAAGTTGAACTGGCACCAAACATGCCTGTCCTTTCCTGGTTTGGGTTCTCGTCCGGGTGAGTTGGAGCACCTGGTTTGGGAGGTCATTTTTGGGTCCAGTGCTTTCCCACTCTCAGGTGGTTTCCCGCATTTCTTTCACCAGTCATGCAACACATCCGTGGTTTTTAGGGAGGAATTGAATCCACCTTCGCACAGAAAGTCTGCACCCCCAGGAAGAAGCTTCATGAGATTCACTTCCTCAGAGGGTGCTTCGGACCTCTGAGTATGTACAGACGTTTGATCCAAGGTTTATTCTTCCGGAAGTAAAATTAACTTCAAAGATCTTCAAAGACTATCCTCACAGGGTTCTGTGAACACAGTTCCATTCAAGCCACCTGGTCAGCCTTCAGCTTCGAATGATTTGGAGCAGTATGCTCCATGCGCTTCACCGCCAGCTTCGAACCGAGCCCAGCTTCGTCCCAGCTTCGTGTTTCGCGCTCAGGAAGGTGAACCAGGCCTTTCCTGAAGATTGGGCCAACTGGTTCAAGAAGTACTCCATGCGCCATAAAGTACGCAACTTGACGAAACTGGCCACGAACGGCGAAGCCATCCTTGACCGTCTTCTTTAGGCGATGCTCCTTCGTGATCAAATCAGAAGTTCAGAAGCGAGGATGCCTCTGAGTAACCTAAAAACATCTAAAAACTGGGTCCATGAGTCAAGAGAAGTCACGACTATTTCGGTACAGGACTTTTCTTCGGCTCTCCTCGCGTTTAAACCTTGTTTTCGTCCAACCGGTGACCAACCTGCTTCTTCGGCCGCCTGAAACACGCGGAACGCCCCTCCGGTCTACGTGAGTGCCGTTCCTCCGTTCCAGGCATTGTCTTCCTGCAGCGGCGGAACGACCTGCGGCGCATCTTCAGCGTCGAAGCCAATCGGCGGATTCCGGTCTACGCCACGAAGGACGCGAAGGAAGCCACCAAGGACGGGGGCAGCCAAGATGGGGTCCGGGTCAACTCCCTTTTTGGTCCCAGACCAGACGTTTGGATGTTTTGTTTTCGTACGTTTGCATCGTCTCAGCCACTTGTAAATGATCTCAGGCAAGCCGACATGGAGGAAAGAACGGGTCAACTCAGGTGGAGACCCTGTGAAGACCTGGTCCTGTGCGGAAGTGAAGTATGCATGTATTCATTGGAGTGAAGGGACGAAGTAGGACGAAGTGGATGGATTCGGCTTGAAAGATGTTGGAAGGGACCCGTGTGGAGGCCATCGCTTAACTTGGACCCTGACTGGCTGGCCCCCTGGAAGATGGTTTCCCTCTACCAACCGACGTGGTCTTCAGGATCCATGTTGGTCTCGGAACCAGGGTGTGCATAACTATACTTCTCATTCCTCCAAGACCATTGTGTTTGGGGATCCCTCACACTTGTGGCACAAGCGTTGCAAGTTTCTTGGATATGTCAGACGGTCGCATGCTGTGGTGGGCTGTGGTGTCAAAGGTGAGGCATGAGAAAATCAACTTGGACATCAAGAACCTCACCCACGACTTGTTGCGCCCCTTGTTCGCGGTGGCGGTCTGGAGGGGTGGTGGGTGTGGTGAGGCCAAGGTTTTCAAGACAGTTGAGGTCCAATTCTCCTGCATGATCAATCAAGAACTGTCCACACGTCTTGTGTGTAAGATTGACTTACACTCGCTGGAATCAGCATGGAAGTCGAACATGGACCCTTGAATGACAACATATGACAACTTTTCCTGTACAAATAGGTTAAGTGTTCGCTGTTTTCTCCTTTCGTGATGATCCCAGGCAGTGTAAATGTATTTTTGTAAGATGGTTTTTGGATGGCACTGCTGGCCCTCCATGAGGTGATAAACAAAAGATCCAACAAGTGCGGCACATCTTGGCGCAGGCGAAGGCATTCCGTAAGATTCGGTGGCGAAAGAGTCTCCAAAATGGGTGGCATGTGTCGAAAGAGTCTCCTATGTTCATCTATTTTCTAGGCTACGAACTGAAGGTGTTCAATTTTTAAGATGCTTTTACACCAGGACCTTCCAAGAGGTGAGTCTACAAAAAGCCTCTATAGAGGTGATTTGGGGTGTCCCAAAACCACCAGTTGGAAGGTTCTGTGGACTTGAGACGAAACGGCCACGGATGGGCCGACTGCAGACCGCAAACTGCAGGATCCTAATACGTGGATCCCCTGTGGATTGGTTGCACGTATAGCTTGGTGTCAAGAGGTTCCTGCTTTGGGAAGACTTTTTTTGTTGACAACTACGTCCCCAATCGCCGCAAAACAATATACTGTATTATATAATGAAATAAAGTTGCCAGTCTTCAAGGGATCAAAAGCGCTTTTTGACGCGATTCCAAGATTTGAATGCAACGACTGCAGAGTTCAAGGCATGTGGAGAGAGTTCTTTTGGCACAGAAGATGTGGTCTTGAGCACTGAAATTTGAGGTAACTTTATAGGACAGTCTTTTGTTTAGGGTTTTGGTGGGATAGAGTTTGGGGACAATTGGTGTTTTCCATGTTGGCTTATTTCAAAGAAAAGGGGTCGGCACCCTGGAAGGCAGATCATGCAAATCTTTGATCCTGGTATATAATGGAGCAAGGCTGATGCTTGGGTGGAAAGTTTTGTGTTTATTTTAGAAGGGCTGCCAAGTCCTACACATGTTCAGAAATCTTCAGAATGAACTACTCACTACAGGCCTTCCAACCACTTCTGCATACAAGCACAAAAGCACATTCACCACTGATTGTATTTGTCACTTTGTTTCTAAGGTTAAGGACATTTAGACATGAAACAGAGAAACTGCCTGTGTAGCAGCAAACCAACAAATGTTCCAAATGTTCCAACCTAGCAGACATCCTGGATATGATTTATACATCCTAGTGACAATGGCATCCTGATTGGTTGCAGCCTTCGAACCACTTGGAACCTTTGGTTACCACCAAATTTGTGTTAACCACGTTGCATATCTCTGATGGTTTTGCAACATAATAATTCAATAAAAAAATAACGCAACTACAAAATGCAAAAGTAAAAAAGAGCAAATCCAAAAAGCAAAAAAAACAAACACAACACACAGCAAATCCAAAAAGCAAAAAAAGTGAAGGAAACAAACATTGCAAAAAGAACAAAATAAAATAAACAAAAATCAAAAGCAAACACATCTAATACAAACAGCAAATAAAACAGCGAAAGCAAAACAACACAAATCCAAAAAGCAAAACAAAAGCAAATGAAAAAGCAAAAACAGCGGAAAAAGAGAGCGTCCCCGAAAGGCACCAAAACGAAAAAGCGACAACCAAAAGAAAACGTGAAACAAAAAAACACAACAACAAACGGCACAAAATAAAAGAACACACATGCGAATAAAGCGAAAACGCGTGAAAAAAGGACACCCCAAACAAAAGCGACAACATGTGGAAAAAAATAGGACGCCATTCGCTTGTTCATTGTTCTATTTTGTGCTTTTGCTGTTTCATTTGCTTTTTGGATTTGCTTTACCATGTGTTGATTCTCTTGGTGTTTCGCCTGGGTCCAGCGAACGCAACAGCAAATGATCATCAAAATGTATGCTTCATGTCGTGAACATTGACCACCCAAAGAATTCCATTACTATGAGACGTGCTTTTATTAATGCCTATAGCTACATGTATGTAATATGTTGATTTATATGTTTTTGGAGTGGGCATTCAGCTGGTTTGGGGCCTCACAACTGGACCAGAGCCCAGGGGGGGGGGAGGTTCTGCCACCCTCTTCGGCTCTTTGGTGTGTAGGATCAGCATCGAACTACTCACCCATTCACAAGGATCGCTGAAATACAAGCACCACGACCAAAGACACCACCACAAAATACCACCTTTCACGCGGCCCCAACCAAAAAAGCACCGAAAAAGACAGACCACTCGGGACGCACGGTTGACACCAAATCAGGGGTTACATATGAGAATCAAGCACCTAATTGGGATCATCGACTTACCAGGTTGACCACCAGTCCAGAGAATAGGAGGTCAACCGACCGGGGTTTGGAGCTCCAGGTTTGGAGCTCCACTACCATGTATTGATTGTTTGAAATCGCTACCAGATGAAACTAGACAATCACCCCTTTCTAGAAAACTAACTCTGCTCTCCAAGTACCAGTTGTGTTCTCGGAGTGTCATGCAAGTGCACTTTTCCATCTCTTCCCTGCTCATGTCAATTCCCACCCTGGCTGAGTAGCAGGGGACCAACGGCCGTCTCGTTTTCCGGACACCAGGCCGGAGTTTGGACGTCGTTTTGGGGGGGTCGCTTTTTATGTGTTGTTTGATCTTCCCATATCTTCCTTATATATTGGGTAAACCCACTTTCTGTGGAATCAGGATGTTATCCCGCTTCCTGGACAGCAACATCCAAGACAGAACTGGCTTTTCTTGCTAGGAGGTGGGCATTCCAGTGCTGCACATCTTCTACGAGGACATAGCTCAAGACCCCGCCAACCTCGAGAAGTTGCGTGGCTGGTTGCGGCGGAACAGCAGTTGCCCTCCCGTGGAGCTGTCGCAGGTGGGGGCGGTGCTACTGTTGGATACTGTATGTGGATAGGAAGGTGAGGCTTCGACAAGAAGAGTGGTATTCAAGAGGATGCCATTAGATTTTAATACTATTATTTTTAGTCTCCAATGTGACCAAAGTGCATGGGACACGGCCCTCAACAAAAACATGTATGTCTACAGTCACAGGTGTGAGGTTTTTCACCTCCAAGGGTTTCCATTGTTGCCCTTTCTCTAAGTTACAAAGCACATGTTGCACTCCCAACAAATATCGATGGAATCTCAGGGCTTCGCCCCCTGGGCCTCCTGAAGCACTGTCCACTTCTGGAGATGGGGCCCGACTTCAAGCACCGTAGTTCCATGGGACGACCCGATACTCCAAGACGTACTTTTAACCGATGCTGCAAGGCTTCAAGGGGGTGGTTTCATTGGTAGTACATTCCCATGGACTGTCTGGGGTTTTTGAATGCTTTCAGTCAAAGACTCGCGCCTGCTATAAAGAAAAAGAGGCTGGGAATCGAGGGGGCATGGGACACATCCAACGTGAGGCCAAATCCAGAGCAACGCCTTTCCAGGAGAAAAAACACCAAAATACTTCCAGCAGGTCCAAAGGGGTGCCAATTGGAGGAAGGGGTGCCAATTGGAGGATATGGGTGCCCAGAACATCAAGTTATATCAACTCACTTCGGACTATAAACAATAATACTCCTTTGGAACTGGTGGTTGGTGTTCTTGCCCCAGAGGAAACACATATACTACTGAATCGAACAACTTCTTCAGGTTCAGCAATTGGTCTTATAGTATATAATTTTGATATATGTGCATACCTATAAGCTCCTGGGGCAGAAATTTCTGTCGCATCCTCATTTGCCCGGGTATTTCCGCGCCACTAGAGAATATTCGCGCCAAGAAAAAATATCCGCGGCCAAGAAGAAAAATCCGCGGCCACAGAGGAATTTCCGCGCCAAATAAAAACCTCTTAGTGTCAATAAACTGCACCCATAATCAAAAGGTTCGGAATGTGATCACAACATATCACAACAACCCCAAGCGCACTCCTCCGCACCTGTCACCAATCGTTTTCCTTCCAAGTTGCAACAGTCACAGTGTGCCTTGATCTATCTGGAGCCGGCACCATGGGTTTTCACGTGCCTTGAAATGAGGGCTCTGGTTTTGAGATAGTAGCGCTGGATAACTCTTTTTGAAATAGTTCGCGTGGACACACGACGGCCCAGGGAACTTACTTTACCAACGTGGTCCTCATTGCTTTCTGTGTTGTACACACCTGGATTCATAACCCTGGCCGCCCCACTCAGCAACTGCGTCCGCAGCTCAAAGGCCAAATGCTTAGCTGCATGGTACTTTGGAATCATTGAGAACGATACCTTTTTTGAGTTTTTGCGTGGAGCCACAAGATAATGAACACCCAACCGTGGAAACCCCAAACAAACAGCCGAACAAATAACCAAAAGTTATTAAGGCAAAGGTAAGCAACCATGCCCAGCAAAATCCCGTGCTTTGCAAGGAGGTTGTACCCCTTGCACACCAGCATCAAGCGTGCATACAGATTTTGTCCGCAAACTCGTGGCATCCACAAACCATGCGAATCACAAATCTTGTGCATGGCCTGGAGGTTCTCCAAAACAGTTTTGGCAACGTTGAAAAACCGGAGGTGGTTACAAGCTTTCTCGTGCGTAGCCGCAATCAAAGGGATGTAGAACAACAACCATGAGACTAGCAAAGTACTGTCACTTCCCTTGGAATTTGCCCATGCTGAACTCCTGAAGGTCTTACAATTGAAAAAAGATCGTGTGAACGATCTGAGCCCTGGGCTCTTTCGAGCCCCCGCACACCAAAGCTTGAACCCACCGTGCGCACGGTTCAAGCGCTCATTGATGTCTCGGGATTCTGCAGGGTCTGCACTGTCAAAGAAGCCCAAGCGGCACAAAATCATCACCAAACTGCCAACGATGTGCCTTGTCAAACCAACTTTAAACACATGAAAGGCATCCAGTTTGAAAGCCCATTCTGGACGTTCTGGGTCATAGTTGATCATAGATAGTGCTGGCCCATCATTCTCTGGCCATGGCCTGGCCTCAAACATGCTAGGTGCCCAAGAAGGCACATGGTCCACTTCTTCAAATTCATAGCGGGGGTCCCCTGCCAAGCACAGGCTGCACATCTTACCATCGCCCTTTTGGGACAGAGTTGCGTAGCTCCGATTGAAGCCACCGGCCACTTCGGCATGAAACTTCATATCACCTTTAACTCCAATCAAGATACCCCACCATTTCTCTTTGGAGTCCCCGATTTCAATCCCATGCTCGTACAGCGCGCGCATGTCTGCAGAGACCAAGCGAAGATGTTCTTGCAGAATCTGAGGGTGAGCTTTGTAAAGGAAACTCGGCAACCCAAACACCAAATGCTTGGTAAGGTAACTGTGCCCTTTCTGGTTGGTAGCACATTGCTCAGCCACACCGACAGAATCACGAACAGGACCACTGCTACAACAAACAAACTCTGCAGGCCAACAGGATACATCCTCACGGCAAACGCAGTGCGGATCTTGATGTCGAAAAAGACCAAACGGCGTCTCAAAAGTGAAGTCCATAAAGTTTGCTCTCTTTGGTCCCCTTCCCTCATCTCCGTACAAAATGAGAGGCAGGCAGAAAATGAGATCCTTTCCGCTCTCAAACACTACATGCCCTGCGTGCACTTGCCTGTACAATTGCCAGAACGAGACGCACTGCTGTCGGACGCTAAAGTGGGACCCAGCTAGCACAGATGGAGCCTTGCGAAGAAGATATTTCAACCAATCGGATACCTTCACCCAGTTTGTAGTCAAGACATCTTTTCCACATTGGTGGGTAACTGATTGAATTGCAATCGGTAAAGAAAATCCTAGTCGGGCAAACTTCCGATGACAATCCCGCTCAGCATTGGGTGCTTCCCTCTCACCCAAGTGTAGCGTGCGCTTCACATTGGTGGCTGTTGCCTCACCACGCGGGCATGGCTAGCAAGTTGTGAAGAGGAAAGCTGAAAGTTTGGATAGATGTGGGTGTTCAATTGAGCAGTCGCCAACCGCACAGTTGCAGCATTCAATGTTCAAACCCGACAAAAAATCAGGATTTCCTATGAGTGAAAGGCAAGTAACTTAAATCTAAGGTTTGCTGTTCTTATGAATGAAAAAGACATTCCAGTCTTACGATATCTTGCCATCCAATATCCAATAGGCCAAGGTGTGGTGGCTGAGCTTCCAGCGCCCTCGCCTAAACACTCCGCCATGTGCTCCTCAAGCTTGCCACCAAGCTTGTGACCTGGCTGGGGCAAAGAACGTTGATAGAAAACACTTCAACTTCACAAACTGTGGGAAACGGCTTGTCGACATGTGTATGGCTCACTGGGGTCCAGCTCTTTTTTGTTGATCCGAGGATCCGAAGTAGGCTCGTGTCCACTCAAGGCCGCTGGCCCAAATCTCTAACTCAAAGCTTTGCACCCCGTGTGGACACAGAGCCCCAACGCTCTGCCACACACAGAGTGCCCAAAACAAGCAAACCACCTAAGGCGAAGCGCGATCTAGCGTTTGGCCTTCTTCTTGGCCGCCGGCGTTGTGGGGTTCTCAGCGGTCCGTTTAGGGACAGCTCGGCGCTTAGCACTACCCTTCGCCTTCTGTTCACTAGTCCTTGAAGTAGGGGTGCATTGCCTCAGCGGGGTAAATAGTGTGTTCTGATTTTCTGCTTACTGATTAGCTTTCTGTAGTTAGACAAATTCATCCTCAAAGAAGTTACTTGTACATGTGGTTGGGTCCCCCACCGGGCCCTTTTCTCCATGCAGATCGCTTCCACTGCCCTGGGCTAACGAACAGATAGACAAGTGATGATGGACGCTTTTTAAAATTCTCAGGCTTTGACAATTTCTTGGCACTCTCAAAAGCCTGCTTGAACGACTTCATTTTCCTCGGAGGCCCCAAAGACCCACGCAAAGCATTACAAAAACTTATTGGTATTATATCTCAAGCTGCCATAACATCCCCACAACCACATGAAGAGTAGTGGACGGGCGGCTCCTTCCCAAAGCCGTCAGCTATCCCAAGCTGGTAGGTTTGCATGATCGAGTCATCTTGCTGCGTGAGTTTGGTCGCAAGCTCAACGATTTTGCCCCTCAGCCTAAGGTTTCCAGAAGCGGCCCTAGTACCAGAAAGGTTTTGCCAGTACCCAGAAGGGCTAACACTAGTTACAGACCTAGCAGCAAAAACGTTCATAATGTTTGTGTAAGAAGCGAAGTTTGTGCAGCATCAAGTTTAGGAGCTGCATCAAATTTAGCAACAATATCTTGCAAGTGTCTCACTCGCTTCTGGAGACACTTGGAAACCTTGGGAGCTGCTGACGGGTACTTGGTCGGGCCCTCGATCTCTGGAAATTTGATCGCCTTGATAACATTCCCCTGCTCATCGTCCCCTGCATCTTCGCCAAACTCATCATCGGAAGAAAGGTCTTTCCGATCGCCTAGTGAGTAGAGAGTTTTTAACAAGCAGTCCAACTGCCTAAAAGCTTACTGTTTCCAGAAAGGAATGGGGCCACAACCCCAAAATGTTTTTCTTTCTATCCAGAGGGTCCACCCGGGCCCATAGAGTCAAATGGGAACGGCTGGTCCATCGAGAGCTGTTTCGGTTCCTCCTCAAGCTCCTCATCCGCACACTGCTCCAGGATGCTGCGACGGGTGCGCCTCAGCCAAGCGCACGGCATGGGGCCACAAGCGATACTGTTGCTGGGCACGGCTTGTGTTGAGCAATCGGATGGTGTACTTGTGAGTGCGAAGCAAACCTCTTTGTAAAGCAGTATTCAGCATTCCAGGAAAACAAAGTTGAAGGTCGCAGTGTGATGCAGCTATGGCGCTTTGTGCTGCCTTTCGTCTTTCGCTCCACCCAGTACATCAAGCCCTCACCATACGTGGACTTCCTGGTCTCGAGATGTCAGAAGGGGACCTCCCTTAGTCTATAATATAAATCTGAGC